TTACCAAAGAGAAACTAATTGGCAGTGGTCAACATACCAAATATAGATAGAAGGTGTCCCTGCCCATGGCAGGGGTGTTGAAACTAGATGATCTTTAAGGTCCCTTCCAACCCAAACCATTCTAAGGTTCTATGATTATTTTCAGAATATTGATTGTTTCATTAGTATGATGGGCAATTAACCAGTGAAAAACAAGACTCTTGGAAAACCTTCCATTATGTCTTTTGGACACAAATCTAAGAGTGATTCTGTTTTATATTGTACCTATATAAATTTTGAACATAATTGCATCACTGGAAGAAGGATTTAGAGAAAATTATTATTTCTTTCCATCCCTAGTTCATGTATTTTATATGATTATAAATTCTGTGTGACGTACAGCAAAGTAGTTGCATTATTTATAAACTTAATCTCAAATAAGTAATTTTTGTCCATTTGAAGTCTGTTATTTTCTTGTCCCACAAGGTCTTGCTTCTGGAAGATTCAGACCATTATAACATATTCAGTCAGTTGGATCGCAAGGAATTTCTATTCTGTCTTTTTAAGCATCTTTGCATTGGAGGAACTCTTTGCCAGTTCGAAGATGTACTTGGCCCATACTTAGAAACTACAAAAGCTTTATATAAAGACTTGGTGAGGTAAGTGTTTTCTGGTTTACATGTTTTCTGGTATATGTATGTGTTGTGCACACATACTTTGTATCACTTCATGTAAATATACTGTGCATTACAGCTTCAAAAATGGGGTTCTTATTCAAGCTATCTGAAAGCTTATTTGTGTTCAGTTATCAAAATACCATGTAACAATGGTAGTAGTTCAGTGGCAAAATATATGCAATTTTAATGGCATCTGTCCCACATAAAAACTTTTTTTATATTACATATATTTACATTGATCTTTTATCATTCACTCCCATTTGAAAGGTTTTTGTTTCTGTAGTCATCTACTGAAAACATGGCATGGCACTGGAACCAGAGTATGTGTCCACTGTCATTGATATCATAGAATCATTTGGGTTGGAATGGACCTTAAAGATCATCTAGTTCCAACCCCCCTGCCATGGGCAGGGACACCTTCCCCTAGACCAGGTTGCTCAAAGCCTCATCCAGCCTGGCCTTGAACACTTCCAGGGATGGGGCATCCACAGTTTCTCTGGGCAACCTGTTCCAGTGCCTCACCACCCTCTACATGAAGAATTTCTTCCTGATATCTAATCTAAACCTCCCCACTTTCAATTAAACCCATCACTATTTTAAGCCTGTTCTTAAAATGTCTTTGGATAAACTTGAGTAAAATGTGTATGTGAGATCAAAGATACAGTAAAAGGATTGGAGCCAGTGATTCTTAATCACCTGAATATTTCTTTACTTCTGTAGCACTTGTGCAGAACTTGATGTAGCAAACCAAAATACTTAAAATATTTGGCTGGGATTTTTTTTTTTTAAGTTTTTGTAATACTTAACCAAAGAAGCTTATAGTAACTTCTAAGCAGCTTTCAGATTTTCTAGGGATCAGTACTTTTCAGGGTGCAAGTTGATTCAGTCATATGCTGTTTCCCAGGGTCATCAAAAATAATTTAAGTAGCCATAGAACTGTTGATACTTCTAGAGAAACTGCTGAAACAGAGACAGTGAGTGCTATCAATATTCCAAGAAAATTTATTAGAAATAACGAACTTGGATTGCTGCATTTATTAATTTGAATATTGTGATTAGTCAGTTAAGCTTTCTTATTGGTGTGATTTAGTTTTGATATTTTTATACCACGCACAGATGGAAATCAAGTGGGTTCTAAAAGGATCCATGGTGCTTCAGCTCTAGCCTCCCCTTTAAATCGTTCACTCTGCATTTGAAACAAGCTGTTTGTTACTCAAATCCTTGGCCTGAGTTGACTCTTCATGGACTACAGCTGTTTCTGTTTGTGTGGTGTTTAACTGACCTAAGACGAAACCAAATCCAATCAGTTCCTTCACTTTCCTGCTTCCCTTTGCTCTTGAGTTTTTTTCTCCTAAACAGGTTCAAGTTTTGTTCTAATCGACCTCCCTTCTTTTTTTTTTTTTACAACCTTCATATCGCCTTAAAGCTTTTCCCCTTCTCTTTCCTTTTCCTGTTGTAAAATCCGATAAGGATGTTAAAAAAAAAATCCCTCTTCAAGGTTTCTCTATACCTTTCTCTATACCTTCCTTTCTCTATAAACTCAACCTGTTCCCTATTGGGACTTTAATCTTGAGTGCTACCTCTTTCCGTTATACAGTATCAGAAGAAAGTCTTTCAAGGTCCATTCCTCTGTGTTTTGGTGTTTGGGTATTTGGATTATTTTTAGTTTTTTAGTTGACAGCATGCTTTCTGTTGTCCAAAGTTTTGAATTACATCTACTCAGTTCAGGTGACATAACTGTCTTCAGTAGTTACCTACCATGTGTGTCTCCACTTCCGTGCCTGTAAACGTCTGCAGGTTTCTCACTGACAGGGGAGCTGGTGTTGACACTGACTAGCAGTTGAAAACAAAACTCATAATTTAACTAAATCTCTTATTCTTTGATCCTTTGATATTAAGTTTTCTGTTGAGCCCATGAGAAAAGCTTTTGACCTTGATTTTTCAGGCCTTCTCTCCCCCTTCACAATTACGATTGTCTCCTGCTTTTGTCTCATTTTCCCCTTCCCCCAGTTTGTCCTAAATGATGTTGCTGTTTTGTTACCACCTTCTTAAGAGAGAAAAAGACAGTGAAATGATAAGCAGTGCAGCTCTGAAGAGGGACACTCATGCCCCTGTCTTGACTTAAGTTCTAATTTCTGGTCCATGCTATGCCCTGTGTTACTTCATTTTTGCACAAATTACACCAGAAAATAAAGCAAATGAAATGTACTTCCTTTTGGCCTCTTATTTGCAGTAAGCAATTGCTAATACCAGTAGTGGTCTCTTAAATTCTGTTTACCAAGCAGTTCACCTTCAAATTCCTATTGAAAACCAACTGTTCTTTAAATTCGTCCTTTCTAGGCTGCTATCCTCCATCTGGTTTCTTTTCATTTTGGATTGCAGTCACATTGGATACTTGTAAAATAATATTAAAAACTTCTTGTGGTGTTAAAAAAATCTGTAAACTGTACTCTTCTTAAGCTTTAATTTATATGTCTTGAGGGCTCAGAAAGCTTGGTGAAAAACAAATGGATAGTACAATAATTATTAGCTGCTAGCTGATGTGCATTGAAAAACAAGCCCCCACAGATAAACCTAGTCCAATCATGATCCGCTTATAGACGTATAAACCACCACTGTTTGGTCCTGTAACAGTTTTTCTTATGGAAAAGAGTCTTGGCATGAAGAGTTCCACAAAAGTCTCTAGTGCCAGGAGTGGCAAACCTATTACGTGCTTTTTCCCACTTCTCTTTCTTACAGCCTTTCCTCTAGCCTTTCCTGAGGTCTGACTCCAAGGCACTAGTGCTCAAAATAGTGCCAAAAGGTTTGAGATTTCATTTTATTAAAGCTTTTCCATGTGTGTTGCTTTATTACGAGAGAATGCAATAATCTTTTGAAATTAACTGCCCTAGATATTTTACAAGCACAGCTAGGGAATTCCAAATACAACTATTAAATGGCAGACATTTTCTCCTTTGTAAAAAGAGTAATAATTACTTCCTAATGAATTCATGCACAACTTGTTGTTTGTTACTAATCCAGCAGTAATTAGTCTGTGACCAGTTGAATCCATCCATATTTTTAGCGTTGGCATCCTGTGTAACCTAAATAATTCAAAAATCCTTGTTACAGTATTTTTAGTATGGTATTGGTTTAGTTAACGAATACATTCACCTGACAAAAACATATTAGTTAAAATATAACCTATGAAGCTGTGTTGATAAATCTTGTTTTCTCTACTTAACCCCTGATTTTTCTGACAGTGTCTCTCCATGGTGACACCTGCTGTACCTGTTTTGTACTCTTGTCCTCCTCTTCATTCTGTGCCATCTCCATGCCCTTTCCCCCAGAGTTAATGACTTCATGTGAAGGCATTGAGTTGTTCTTTTAATGTTGTTCTTTTAATGGAAAGCCCAATAGAATATTGCCAGTAAGGTTAGAACATTAGTAGCACCCAAAGTGAGTTGAGAGGTGATGAGGAAGTTTGCTCTTCATAAAAAGAGAATGAAAAGAGAATAGGTGCACACTGAAGTCACGAAGGAACTACCATATTCAATGAATAGTTTAGAAGTTAACCATTTGAAAGAACAAAGGGAGTATTAAGACTATTTTTAAGGAAATACTATCCTCTTCAAGAAGACAAGGCACTTTTTTCTAAAACATTTTAGGAAAAGGAAAAAAAGAACTAGAGCAAACGAGCTTTTCAAAGGCAACCTCCTGGTTTCTTTCAAGTCAGCAAGGGAAGAATCCCATCTGATTTTGGCAGATACATTTTTTTGCCTTAAAAATTAACCGACATACTAGAAACAAACACTCGGTCTGAAAAATTACTTACAGGAAGATAACCACAAGGGGAAAATTTCTTAAGGCAGTGGAATAAATAGGAAGCCTTATTCTCTGTCACCCCTTACTTTGGTATCCTAGATATATATATAACAGAAAAATTAAGAAACCAGAAATTGAAAGTCACTGTTTTCAGACACAAGAATGTGAAGCCAGAGCACCTTAAATACAACTGTGGGGTTTGTCGGTGTTGATATATGGTAGAAAGTGCTGGTCCCACTAACCCTCTATGTCTTGTTCTGAAAGTTGTCAGTCTTTCAGCAGGGACAAAGAGTTTCGGAACGGCTGCAGCTCACAGCCGGGTCTGTTAGCATAAACTGACATCCATTCCAGTTTATCTTAATATGCTGGTCTGTAAACTGCAGTGCTGAGAAGCTGAGTCACGAGCCAGCTGAGCTGTCCCTGCTGGGAAGGCAGTAATCTCTAGGGGGGTGGTAAGGCAGACAACTGGGGCCAGTACCACTTCAGCAATGCTGTCTTAATCCACTGTTGAGTATATAAACTTGTGAGTTCCAATCAAAAATTCTGAGAAAGCCTCGTTACTGACTCACCACAGGAAAGATCAACTTCACAGCATAGACTGAATTCGTTCACAACTCTCATTACAGATGAAATCAGTTAATTGGCGAGTCAGGTTTTTTTTATCAGTTGGAGAGATTGAATCAACAACGATGATGTTGGTTGATTTGGGGTTTGTTCTTATAACAAGAAGATTTGTGAAAGCAGTGGTGATAGAGACTGCTGTCACAGACAGCTTGGAACTGGTGTGGTGTATAACTGGGCCGTGTTTAACACGCATCCTCTAGCAACTCGGCTGTACCGGGACCTTTCCTGGGAACTGAACCTGCTTGTGGCAAGGCAGGTTTTGAGCTACCCATTTCTTGGAACTGTATAAGTATGGATTATTTTAAGGCTCAGTTGCTCCACAGAGAGTTAATATAAATAGGAATCTCTGAAATTAGATAAATGAATAGAAGTAACATGATCGAATTTGAGAAATATAAGCATCACTTATAGCAAACCTGAGGAAAAATGACATGTTTAAAAACACTTAAATTTAGAATGTGGAGATGCCTGGATGCTTTTCAGCAATATCTTAGTGTTACTAGTAATTGTGATGGAAGCAAAGGCAGCCTTTGCAACGAACACAGTCTAGAAATATAAAAATTCAGACCTAATACCATCCTAAGTTACATAGCTGTCTATATATACAACATTCCAAAGGAGGAAAAATGAACCTAAACTATCATTATGTATATATAAATTAAAAATAAGCTAGAGTCTGCATTTCTTCACCAATACTGCTGTTACTTTTTGTAGTCTGCATCGAGATGAAGTTCACTTTGCAGGTTTTGTTCTCAAAGAGTATGTGGAAAGATTATTACAAAATGTTTAGCTGAATAACTTTTCATAGCAATCAAAATGCCAAATTTATATTGGAGTCATCTAGGCCTGGGTAATATTGCTGTTTTAATAGCTGAAAACAGTGAAACCAACTCAGAGGTCTAATACATTCTAATACATTCTATCTAATACATTCAGTAGTTTTCAGTAAAATGTCATAGCCACCACGTTGTCCAACAATGGCTAAGATAGCTTTTCATGGTCAATGTGACATGACTTGAATTTTAACTGTTACTTTGAACTTGATCAAATTTGAGTGAGAACATCATGCATATGTTGAAAATGTGTTTATTAAATGAAGGATTCTAATAATCAGTGGTTACTGTACATATTAAGTATGTATTATTGCCCTGTATTTCAGTGTTCAAAAGGATCCTGAAACAAAAGAAATAGGTATTATTTCTACAGTCTTCAGAGTGTCTGCTTATGTAAGTATTAATAATCTTTAGTACAGGATTTTACTGCAAGTAACATGCATAACATGAAAATAATGAACTGACATTTCCACAAAGACAGCATAATGTTTTTCCATAGTTGCTGTCATTTTTTATTCATTAACCCTTTCCCTGATCTCGTTCTGCGCTAGCTTTTTACTAACGCTTCCTCAATAACCACCAACTAAAGTTTTATTTGGTAGCTCACTAAAAATAGGTTTACTGGATCACACTTGAAGTCATAATAGTTATCCAGAAACTGGTTTATGAAAAAAACCTTATCTTTACATCTGGGTAATTCTGGTTTTAGATCTGCTTGAGACAGCAGTAAGGATTAAGAATCCACTCTTGACTTTGTATAGGTTTGTTTTTAGAAATGTTGCTAGACTCAAGTCATTAAATTGTTACAGTAGGATGAACTACCCCAAATTCTTCTTAAGTAACCAGAATAATTAAATGTCAGATAATGTACCCACTTTCAGAAGAAAAATGCGATGTCATTTTAGACTGCCCCGTCTTCCCTCTAAGTCTTCTAAATAGCCCAGTTGTTCATCTGTGGGTCATCATCCTTTAAGTACTATGTGTGGTTCAGAAAGGGCTTTTGAAAGGTTTTTAAAAATAAGCATTTCATGGGTGTATAAAAATTTCTACTAGGCTGCAGATTGTACTAAAAATACAATAAAAAAGCAAAACCCCGATAACTCGATACTCTTCTATTACTACTGTTTCCTCCCCATCGCTGAATGAAATGTATTGATGTGAGCGTTGCAGATTTCTGTGTTCGGGTAGATGCATGATATTCAAGAGCTCCCCTAACTGTCTTTGCCATACGTTAAATACCACCACTGTTAAAAAACACACACATACAAACCCCCAACAAACAAACAACACAAGCACACCCCCCACCCGCAAACTTCAGCAACGTTTTGAACGCAAAAGAGTGGATGGACAAAGGATATCCAGTGCAGCTACAGAGCATGCTATCCTACCTGTAGCCTTGGGGGAAAATAGGGCTCTACTGCACATTCTGAAAATTTGTGAGGTGAAGGAGAATTCTGAAATTCCGGTTTCCATTAAAGAACATCCTGAAGAATATTCTCTCAGAACAGAGGAAGGCTTAAATGGGTATGTCTGGACTGTTTGATGGCTATGTGGATCAAAACTCTTTAAACTCTACTTGGAAATTACAGGAGGGGCACCTACTGGAGCAAAAATGGCTGGTGCTTGTGATGAAAAGTTTCTCTCAAGGACATAACGACATTGCTGCAGTAGATTTAGCTTCTGAGTTCATTTGGTGAATTGCTGTAGAGTGTGTTGTTACAATTTTAATGTTGACCTGACAGTTTTTAAGACGCTTTCTTGGTTTGTATCTGAAAGAAACGGACATACCCTCTTAGCCTGATATAAATAAAAATAAAAGCTGTTCTGGTAAAAGTGACTTGAAGAGCAGCTGAGACGTTAGAAGAACACACATTTTTGCACACTGGATTAATAAATGGACAAATAAATATACTTGTATATTTGCACAACTACAAACGGAATCAGGAATTAAGAACTTTATGTAACACCATCCTGACACCACCACTTCCTGTTTATTTGGGTTTTAAGCTGTGGCTAAGAAGCCCTTGTTTTGGAAACGATCTCTGAAAAAGCATGCTACTGGAGATGTAAAGATTTCAAGGTATTAAGGTGTAGTTATGAATATCTGTAGATCTGTTTAGCATCAAAACACGATAGACCTGGGCATGACAAGAGGAACAATTTTAAATCTTGTGACCAAGTACTCTGTTGAACTCCAAACACCCTCAATAGCTTTGGTGCTTGCTTATAACAAAATGTTATTACAGCTGAGGGATTAGGACGCTGACTGGGATTTCAAAACTTCCTTTACCTGAACCTGGACTATGGCAGTGTCAGAAATCAGTGTAATATGTAGTTTATTCAGAAAGTATTTTTTTTTAATTGTTGATTAAATGATGCAGTTTTAAGAGATGTTCAGCTGTATATTTACTGATGTATTATGCCATGCATTATGGTATGCACATGTACTGCTAAATCATCAGCTCATTATCTGTGTTCCTACAAAGAAAAAATAACATGATGCTATTCTAACATCAGTAAATCAATCATTACACCCCCTGCGTGTCTGAACCAAAGTCCACACTGCAGATGGAATTGGTATGATTCTTAATTCACATATATGCACCCTCTAAAAAACGGAGTGTGTGTAAGTCCCAGAGCCTTTATGCTCAAGTACTTTAGAGGTTTGACAACCTCTTATAATAGTTAAAATAAATATAAGAACCCTTTTCATTTAATTAGATTATATCTATGGTTTTCCTGATACCAGGTTTGGTGTATTCTGGACTTTCTTGAAATGCCTCATCACCAGAACTTAACTCTTTTACATTTCAGAGTTGCTGAAAAAAGTTTTGATGTGCTTTAAAATCAAAACCTTAACTGACAGGTTAACTGACTGCAGGAATGGGATCTTCAGTAGTAATGGGAATAAAGTTTAACTAGCAATCACATCTTGATGTGTGATGGTCTTATGCTTTCTTTTTTTTTTGTTTTGTGCATGATGTTAGGTTATTTTTGGATCAAAACCCACAGGCATTGTGATGCTGAGTCCTATAAAAGCTTGTAAGAGCTTGCTCTCCCTACTGCAATTGAGAATCCAGTATGCTACACATGTATCCCAAAAACACACCTGAAGAGAACTAGGCATCTTAAAATTGGAGCTACAGAGCTTGTATGCTGTGTTGCTTAAACACAGAATGCTATTTTTAGTTTGCAGCATTTGACTACCATCGGGAAGTGCTGTGAATAAACATTATCAAATCTCTACCTGTCTTAAACAGTGCTTTTATGGTGGTGCTTGTCTTCATTTAAGATTTATAGTCTTGAATAATCCCTCAAAGGAAGACACCAGACCACATAGTAGGGGATTCTTCCTCTTTGAAGTAACAGGAGAAAATGGGGTGACAGTAACAGCTACTGGATAAAATTCACAAATGGTCCTTGGAGCAGAAAGTGGAACCCAGACCTTAACTACTGCGAGGTTACAGTTTTCATGTTTCCTTGGTCCAAAAAAAAGGTGGATTATTTTATGCAAAGGAAGACAGCTTCGACTGTGTGAGATGTGCCTCTCATCTTGAATAGTCTGGGAGTTAAAAATGTTCCTGGAGAAAACGGGCAATATATGCAACGTAGGAATGAATTTCCCTTAGGCAACTAAAAGGGGAACAACCTACATCTCTTCAGCTATTGTGTAAAGGTGTTGGGGAGCAGGAAGAAACTGTTACGTGTTTTAAATGAGAGGAGGTATTGGCTACATACGTGTTGATCTTTTCAATGTTCTGAACACATTAAAAAAGAAAGCAACCCTTCAGGAATCCCTGCATTTAGTTTCTGGATCCCTGCTGGATTTGACACACGTGTCAAGCTGTGCTGCCCTGTCCATCATGAAGCTTTTATTGACATGGGCAGACGTAGGATGTTAAATTGAAGGGCCCGGTTCTTGTAGTGCTGGTTGTGAGCTGAACGTGGCTTTTTTCAGAATGAGGATTTTGGACCTAGGTGCCTAGATTCCCTTGGAACACTTTCGAAGGATTGGCACACAAAATGTTTTCAGTAACAGTTCAAAGTTGTTAAGGAGAGATGTGATGAGGGTTTTTCCTTAAATGCAAATATTTGAAACTGAAGAGATGATGCATTAGCAAATGTTAAGTGAAAAAGACCCGCTGACAGAACAGCTTTATGTATTACAATGGGGACCGTAAATACGTTTCTGTTGCAACGGAAACACGATCGGACCCTTGTATTTCTGTATATATTTTATATGAAATATATATGTATTTTGTATATTTTGTAACCACCTGTATTTTGGGCTCTGATTGTGTAAGCTCTAAACACGCTTACATGTTTAACTTCACGTTTCATATTAATATTGCGTTTACCTCAAGGTTATCGGAACTATGCAGACTGGTGTGCGTTTTGGAGTGTCAGACTCGTCATGGGGACGTAACGCTGCTTAAATAAACTGGTGTATGTGTTCTCTTTTGCCGGGAAATAAACTGTTACAACTGGAACAAAATTACACATTTCAAGAGCTCTCTGAGGTATCTGCGTTGTTCCTAATACTGGCTTTGTTTGTTTCCCCTGTCTCTCAGGATGGTGATGGCCTACGTTACCCCTCAAGCATCACCCACGAACAGACCTTTGCCTACTTGGTCGTGGACCCCTGCAAGCGACACGTGCATGTCCTGTACCACTGCTTCGGCGGAAGCTTATTCACTGACTAGTTACAACCCTGGCAGTCCTCCAGCTTTATACTGGAGGCGGCCGCCTCTGCACGAATTCAGGTAGAAGTTTCCTAGTTTTCTTGGGAGGAAGGATGTGATCCGTGGTTACACGCTCTGTCGCGTCGATGTGGTTGGTGCAAGCCGTGTGTAGTGTTTCTGACTCTGAAAGGCGTACTTCTTGAAGCCCCTTCCCTGGCAGCTGTGTTCCCCCTTCCCTCCCTCACCCGTTTTATCTAATAAAAGGTATTTCTGTGGATGTCTCCGCAGATCCACGACGCATAAATGCAGGGAGAGCCTCGGGAAAAAGTGCCGACCGACCTCCCACCCTCCACGGTCCCCAGCCCCGCTC